TCAATCTCCTCACCAAATTCATCACAACCTGCGGTTCCATCGCCCTTTTCGCCTCTCATCAAAACCCGCTAGCTCTGATTCGACATGGTCGCCGCGTCTTCAATCACAGACCCAATAAAGATGACACATTTCTCTGTAACTCTATGATCAGAGCCCACATGGATATGCGCCAATCGCTGAATCTTTCACTCTCTATAGAAATCTTAGGAAGGACAGGGGTTTCAAGCCCGATGGCTACACATTCACAGCTTTGGCAAAGTCGTGTGGTTTAGATGTGGCCATCTGGGAAGGGCAAGAACTTCATTGTCATGTTATTAAAGTTGGGTTGTGCTTAGATTTGTATGTGTCGACTTCATTGGTTGATATGTATGCAAAGTTTGGGAGGATGAGTTGTGCAAGTAAGTTGTTCGATGAAATGACGGAGACAAGTCGAGTATCGTGGACAGCTCTCATTTGTGGGTATGCAAAGTTAGGAGATATGGGTAATGCAAGGAGGCTTTTTGATCAAATGCCTGAGAAGGACTTGGCTGCATTTAATGCTATGATTGATGGTTATGTCAAATTGGATGATATGGGTCCCGCTCGAAGTTTATTTGATGAGATGACGGATAGGAATGTGGTATCTTGGACCAGTATGATGTATGGTTACTGCTATCATGGTGATGTACAATCTGCTAGATCACTCTTTGATGCCATGGCTGAGAAGAATCTAATTTCTTGGAATGTGATGATTGGGGGTTACAGTCAAAACAAACAGCCCCATGCAGCCTTGAAATTATTTCATGAACAGCAGTCAAATACGTCTCTTGAACTGGATGGCGTGACTGCTGTTAGCATTCTTCCAGCTATTGCAGATTTGGGCGCCTTGGATTTAGGTCGTTGGGTTCACAAGTTTGTACGAAGGAAGAAGCTTGATAGGGTAATCAACATCTGCACTGCGCTTGTTGATATGTACGCAAAATGTGGTGAAACTACAGAGGCCAAAAGACTTTTTGATGAGATGCCTGAAAAGGAGACAGCTTCTTGGAATGCCTTGATAAATGGGTTTGCAGTAAACGGCCATGGCAAGGAGGCACTGGAGGTATTTTTAGAGATGCAGTGCAAAAAGTTTATGCCGAACAATATAACCTTTATTGGTGTTTTGTCTGCTTGTAACCATTGTGGTCTGGTAGAGGAAGGGAAAACATGGTTTAAAGGAATGGAGGGCTTTGGGCTTATCCCACAAATTGATCATTATGGTTGTATGGTTGATCTTTTGGGAAGGGCAGGATGCTTGGAGGAAGTCGAGAAATTGATTGAGAGCATGCCTTATGTTGCTAATGGAATAATTTTGAGTTCTTTTCTTTTAGCATGCGGCCATTCTGAGGATATCACAAGGGCCAACAAAGTTTTAAAGAAGGCAGTCAAAGTGAAGCCATGGAATGATGGAAATTATGTCGTGCTAAGAAGAGAATGTGGAGTGATGCAGAGGAAATTAAGAGGTTGATGAGGAAGAATCAAGCAAATAAAGAGGTTGGTTGCAGTGTGATAGAGGTTGATGGTAGAATCCAGGAGAAAGATATCAGAGATTTTGAGATCTTCCACATCGCCATTGTTGATATTATCAAGTAAGCGTGTATAAGTAAAATGTTAATTACAATATGTACGATGTTAAAACTAATAATGCAAAATATCTTAATTTAACTCAAATCATCCAAACACTATATTGTGCTTTGAACTTTAATTGTAAAGAAAAATAATGAATACAAATTATAAGCAAAATTTATTAAAAGCTTCTAATCCTTGCCCCTTAACACTAACAAGCTCTATCTAACACACAAACAATTAACAGGAATACTAACACCTCCACTGGCTATGGCTGCTAAATGAACCGTGGAGATTGTGCGCCAGCTGAAAATGATCGAGGCCATTCCAGACGTCCTTTCGTACCATCAGCAGCCGTGCTGGTGCTCATTTATACCTCCAACAGTATCTGCAACCATGATGGCGCAACCATTTCAGACATCCTTTTCGTAATATCCAAAATGTTGGCACTCATTTATGCTAAGATCTCCAACACCATCCCTGTACATCGTTCAATAATTCATCATTCACTCAAACATAAAGCAAGGTACATTCTGCAATGCCCTTCTGCTTGTACAACTGACGCCAGCAAAAGCCAATCTCCATCAGTTCTGCTCACGGAAAAAGTCCAGAAAACTCCTTGAAGATCAAATTTACTTTCAATTCCAAGAAATATACAGTTATGTACATGAGAAATAATTTGGAAAAATAAAGCAATTGAGCATCACCTAGCCGACAATCAACCATATTTCCGCCACAAAAACAGTTCATTATACATAAGAGGGATGCTTAGAAGAAAGCATACACAGACGTCAAGTATCATATTTGATTAGATGTATAGTTTAGCATAGACTTCCCTTTTTTGTCAGCTAAGTTCTTAAAATCTAATCTAATTTGAATCCAAGATAATTCAACTTATTATATGAAGACCGCAAACCCCATCTAATCGATCCATATGACAGACTGATTCCTCCAACCAAGAACTTACCTTTGAGAGAATGGCATAGATGAAAGAGGTATTATTCAATTAATCAAAGAACACATGGAAAGGAAACAAAATCGAAACATACTCAAAACGATTTCAAGTCAAAAATCACAAATTAAATAAATAAAATCTTTTGGGTATTGGTTGACAGAGATGTAAGACTTAATGTTGTCTTATACTTAATCATGAAGAGGTCAGACTTAATGGGCTAGTTGCAGATTACTTTGACAAGTTGGGACTGACAAAAAGGCCCAAATATTAAGGGAAAATAATGAAAATCACTTTTTTGTATTACACACCAATTTCTATCCCAAATACCTTTAATAGGCACGGTGGGAGAATTATATTGGTTATAAGCAGTGGGTAATAGCCATTAGATATTTCCATCTGGGAAGAAAAACAACTTCACATGCTTGTTATTAAGCTTGGGTTGTGCTTAGTCTCTGTCTGGTCAAGGTGTTCGATGAAATCATAGACGCAATTCGAGTGCCGTGGGCAGCACTTAGTCGGAGGCTATTCAGGGTCAAGAGACGTGGGATGGCTATTTTCTTTATTATAAAATGAAATTGATATTTGAAACATTTCACCATACATAACTGATGTAGTCATTCTGGAAGGATTATACATCCATACAGAGATAAATGGTAGAACTAGATGGAAAGAAACAGCACAAGGAAAAAACAGAAAGCAACACCAAATGCATATCCTAATAAACTGAGTTTCTGGGTCCCCTACTCTTCCTCCTTTTCATCATTATCAGTCTGATCCTTCCAACAATCTCAAGGAACCACTCACGTCTCCTTGAGATCGCTACATCCGCAAGCACCACTCCCACTACCAACCCACTTCCAAATCCTGCCAAAGCAAATTTCCAATCAAGTTCAAATCCAGAGCCTGAATCATTTTCTTCTTTGGTTGAAGGTGGCAGTTGAGAAGCATTAGGATCTCCACATTTCTTTGGCAACACATCTCCGCACAATCCCGGGTTTCCCTCATATGAAGTGACATCGAATGTAGTAAGTTGGCCTCTATATGGTATAGGACCTGTGAGATTATTGTGAGAGACATTGAAATTTCCAAGGAATGTAAGCTGCGTAAGTTGTTGTGGGATCTCTCCTGAGAGCTTGTTCTGTGAAAGGTCTAACGATTCAAGCAGTGTTAAGTTGGCCAAGAATGATGGGATGCTACCAGTGAGAATGTTATTGGAAACATTGAGCAAGCGAAGGCCCTTTAGGTTCCCAATGAATTCAGGAATCTTCCCTTCAAATTTGTTGCTTGAGATATCAACGACCCCAAAGTCTTCTTGAATCTTTGAGTAGTATCTATCAACACCTTCATGATTGAGAACGCATAGTAGAAACGTACTCCACTGACACTAAAACTTGCGTACGTGTCCATATATGTGGGTTGTCCATGAGGGATACCTCTCATGGGATTTCCAGTAAAGATGTATTCAGATGGAAACTCGCCTCTGAAATTATTGTGAGACAGATCAAGAATGCGCAACTCAGGGAAACGAAGATTCCTTTTTTGTTTCCCGATCACACCATAGAACCCATTATGGCGCATTGACAAAAGTTTCAATTCTGGGAAAGTCCCCAACCAAGAGGGGAAAACATCATGGAATTCATTGTTTGACAGAATAAGAGATTCAAGCATCGCACAATTCGCCAATGACCTCGGCAACTTGCCCTGCAATTGGTTAGAGCTAACATCCAAAACCTTCAGCTTGCTTGTGTTGGTGTATGCTTGAGGAAGAACGCCATGAAAAGAATTATTCCCAACATTTAAAACTCGTAGATCATCGCTGAAGTCTCCAAGACACTGAGGAAGCATACCACTCAACTTGTTATTTGACAAATCAAGAAACTGAAGAGCACTCAGATCACAAATCAATGGTGAAATCTCTCCAGTCAACTTGTTTTCTGAAATTACATAGTATAAGATGCTTGGTTGAGGTATCGGTAGTGGTCCTTGTAGCATGTTACGGTTGAGTCGTAAAACTTTTAGGTTGACCCAGGGAAGGACAAAAGGTGAAGGTTGACCAAAGCCAGTAAGGGAGTTTCCCTTAAGGTCCAGATACTGCAAAGTTTCTGTGCTTATATTCAACATCCATTTCGGCACTTGGCCAGCCAAGTTGTTTCTAGAAAGGTCTAACCAGAACAAGTTTTGTTCATGTCTTAGGAATTGTGGGAACTCTTTTATATTGCAGGAACTCAACCCGAGATACCTAAACTTGGGAAGAGTTGCATTCATAGTTCTAGATTCAGTGAGCACTTCCAGTGTGCTATTAGATAGTTCGAGAGAGATGACATTTTCTAGCTTAAGAATCTCCACTGTACCATGCAGACTATTAAAGTGTAGATAAAGGATTCGGAGATACATAAGATTGAATATTGACTCGGGAATTGAACTGCGCAATCTATTATAGGAAAGATCTATGTAAGCTAGCCTGCTAAGATTACCCAGCCAAGATGGGATTGGACCAGTTAGTTGATTAGAAGGAAGATGAAGAAAAAAGAGCTGTGTGAGGTTTCTAAGAGAAGACGGGATGTAGCCACTTAGATTGATGTTTCCAAGGTGTAGATAAGTAAGTTTGGTTTGCTTACCGATCCAAGACAAGGGACCACCACTGAAATTGTTATCAGAAAGTGACAAATATGTCAGTTGGGTAAGGTTAGCAAACCAATCAGGGATTGGACCACTGAAGTTGCATGCCCTAACATCCAGCTCCTGTAATAAATCAAGGTTCCTGATTGGAGACAAGTTTCCTGAAATGCTACTGCTGCCAAGCTTCAGCGACACCAGTCGACTGCTTCGATTAAACTCAGGCAAATAACCAGTGAGATCTTGGTTAGATCTCACATCAAGAGTTTCAAGGTCTTGCAACTCAAAAATTCTTGCCGGAAATTTTCCAAACAAGCCACAATCTCTGAGGAGGAGAGATGTCAAAAATGATAAATTTGCTATAGAATCGGGTATTGTTGAAGATATGTTTATGAAACTGAGGTGAAGCTTTTCTAGAGTGGTTAAGTTTCTAATGAGGCTTCTCAAATCGGATTCTCTAATACTCAACAATCCTTCACCAAGAAATGGATCTAGATTGAGAGATAGATCAAGGTTTGACAACTTGGACAACTGTGAAAGCTGGGATGGGACTTGACCAAAAAAGCCAGAGGCAGAGAGGTTGAGGTACGTCAGCTGTGGAAAGTTCCCAAGGGTAGTAGGAATTTGAGAGTAATTGAAGTTATAAATCAAGGTTCCTGATTGGAGACAAGTTTCCTGAAATGCTACTGCTGCCAAGCTTCAGCGACACCAGTCGACTGCTTCGATTAAACTCAGGCAAATAACCAGTGAGATCTTGGTTAGATCTCACATCAAGAGTTTCAAGGTCTTGCAACTCAAAAATTCTTGCCGGAAATTTTCCAAACAAGCCACAATCTCTGAGGAGGAGAGATGTCAAAAATGATAAATTTGCTATAGAATCGGGTATTGTTGAA